GAGCGGCCCCGCAGCTCCCCGGCCTGCCCTGCCCGCAGGTCTGGTTCCAGAACCGCAGGGCCAAGGAGAAAAGGCTGAAGAAGGACGCGGGGAGGCAGCGGTGGGGGCAGTACTTCAGGAACATGAAGCGATCCCGGGGGACATCCAAGTCCGACAAGGACAGCATCCAGGAGGAGGGGCCCGACAGCGACGCCGAGGTTTCCTTCACAGGTCGGTGGCCGCAGCCCCAGCTCGGGCTGTGTCTCCCCGCCCTGCCCCGGCCGCTTTCACCCGCTCGGTGCCGCGCTCAGAATTCTCAGCAGGGAAGCAGCGGGTGAAGAAGCGGCCGAGGCGAGAGAAGGGCAGAGCCGCGGGATTCACCCGGGGGAAGCGGAGCAGGGCAGAGAGGGGCAGCCGGGGCCGAGGAAGGGAGGGGGAAGCTCCGCTCTGCCCCCGGCCCGGCCCAAAAGCTGCGGGGAGAGCGGGGAGAACTCCCCGGGCAGGCGCTGCAGTGTCAGAGCCGCTGCTCAGACACGGCCTTTTCAAGGGATTCTTGGAAATACAAAAACCGGGAAGCCCAGAACCGCTGAATGTTTCTATGGGAAAACGAGCGTGATTTTATTTTTTTTAATTTTTTTTTTAGTCTTATATAGGGATGGTTTTATTTGTGCAGTTGCTCACGAGGACTCCTCAGTCCTGTGGGAGCTGTTCCTGTGCTGCAGAAAGGAAATTGTTGCAGTGTTAGGCAGTTCTGCAGCAGTGTCCCCTTTTTGGAGCCGAGATTTCTGGTGACAAACCCAGGACAGAAACAGCAGCTCTGGTCCTGTGCAGCCTCACCCTGCACTCTCCAGACCCACAGGGACAGGGACAGGGCCGGGTGGCATTTGCAGGGACATGTTCTACACAATCCCAACTCCAGCCCAGTGCTCCAGCCCAAATTTTTGTATCATTTTTAGGAATGGGAAAGAAGCTGAAATGCAAAGCTCTGTGTATATTTACACAGACTGTGTATTTATAAACACACAGTTTTTCATCTCAGCTCCTCTCCTGTGCTCCTAAAAACTATTTGATTTTCGAGTCTGTTTATACACACTGTGTATCACCTCATTAAATATGAATAGTCTATAAATAATAACTAAAATATGTCGAACAATTATTGAGAGCTTGATGCCACAAACAGGTTTGTATCCCAGGCAACAGAGCAGCTCTCACTGCCCATAAAGCCCCTAACAAATACAAACAATTTTTGCTGGGAGCTTAAAAAATATTGCTCATTTTTCAGGAGTGTTTTTAAGCCATGCAAATACATTTTGTGTTTGTGATTTCATTACCCTGTTCCCGAGCAGACAAATATCTTAATTTAATATCTCTTTTCCTGAGCAATGGGGAATTTATCTTGCATTGGTTCAGTAGCTCCCAAAAGTGATACCAAAATTCAAGATAAACCTCAAAACCAAATAGAAAAAAAAGGTGGAAAGACACTGAATTCACTTCCCCTTTAAAGAATTATTTTAAAATCAGTCTTATATTTTAGTATGTACTTTTCATGCATATTTTTAAAATCCAAGATGTATTAGATGAAATATATTAGATAAAATAATAATCCCATGGCTGCCTGTGAAGATGTCTCAGCAAAGATGGGAATAATAAGGAATTACAAGTGGAATAGCCTGGCTGCTCAGCTCCCATCCTTTTAATCTATTTATACCAGAGCTTGCAGGAGTTCCCGGGTGACGGATGCTCTTCCAGTAAAACCAGTCCACTCCAGCACTGACCATTGCTCCGCCAGTAAAACCAGTCCTTTTCCCTTTCAGATGAGCCCTCCATGTCCGAAATGAGCCATTCCAATGGGATTTACAGCAATCTCAACGAGGCGTCCCCGGCGCTGGGGAGGCAGGCTGGGCCCAACGGGAGCTTTGGGCTGGATCCCAGTGGGATGGCGGCTCAGGACCAGTACCACGACCTGCGCTCCACCAGCCCTTACGGCATCCCGCAGTCGCCAGCGGCCCTGCAAGCGCTGCCAGGCCACCAGCCCTTGATCTCCAGCTTGGTTTACCCAGACAACGGCTTGGCCATGGTGGGACAGAGCGGACAAGGGGTGCCCCAGAGCATGAGAGTCCTGGCCGGGAATGGACCGAGCTCCGACCTCTCCACCGGCAGCAGCGGGGGGTACCCGGATTTCCCGGCCAGCCCGGCCTCCTGGCTGGATGAGGTCGACCACGCTCAGTTTTGATACAGGGGCCACCCCCAAGCAGCGGGAAGGGAAAGGACTCGGTGCTGTTAAATGTCACCTGCTGTTGCAAAGGACAGAGGGACGAGCCGTGGGTGCCGAGCGGGGCAGGAATGTGACGACGCGGAGGGAGCAGAGGGGATTTCGGAGATGAGCCTGGCAGAGGATGGTGGACAAAGGCCCTGGCACTGCAACCATTGGCACCCGGAGCGTCCAAACCAAACTGATTCTCGTGTCTTTACCAAACACCAAGACCTTTACAGATTTGATATGAGGTATTTTGCGTTTTGTTGTCAGTGCATTCTCCAAAGCAAGGACTTGCTCCATCACCCATCCACACCGAAACATTTTTAAGGGAAATTAAAATGCTCATCCACGGTGAAAGGTGTGACAATGTCTATATTTCTATAGGAGAAATGTTCATAGTGAATCACTTCAGAAATCCATGGTAGGAAACTTCTCTGTTCTTCCAACAGATTTTTTAAAAGCGCACCAATGCGGTATGTTTCGTTTTACTTTGAATTTACATTAACTTTTCTAAAATGAAATGCTCTTTAATATGCCAATCATTTATCAACAGCCCTTTTCCTTTGTAAAATGAAAATCATATGTTAATTCTGCTTCTCCCCTTTTTAATTTGTAGATTGCTAGGCTGACTCTTCCATATAAGCATTAAACCGTGAATAGATGTATTTATTACCAAGTAATTCCACATTTATCATGAGGTCAAGAGGTGAATTTTCTTGACCCAGGGACACACCGGTGTTGGATCTCGGTTGTGGATCTCACGCTTTTCCTTCAAATTTCTTTGCATCAGTTTTACTGCAAAGTGTCTCAAAAATCACCCTGATGTCTTGTTGCCAAAAACCTTCTCGGGGGGTCGGGCTGGTTTTAAGATGAGCCCTTCCCCAGGCACTGCTGGAGTGAGCACCCCCTTCCCTTGGGGACATGTTCTGTTCCAGGCATTTGTGTATTTCCACGGATATCGTGCAAGCTGATTGTGAGGAAAGGCAAGACAATATGTATATTGTTATCTGTAAAAATTATGGAATTAACTGTAGATTATGTGGATGTCCAGTGTCTTTTATTTATATTCTCGCTTTCTCTCTGATGATCAAATACTTCAAGATTACAAATAAATTTGTCAGCTAAACTTTAAATAGTCTTTTGCTAAATTCACATCATTCACAGTAAATAAAAAACCTGAAACTAAAAGCTCTTAAAACTTGATGCCATGGTTGCACAAAGTGTTGAAATATTCCCTTTCAATAGAGGAGCAAACCCACTGCTGTGGAAATGCTTTGGAACAAAAATAATAAAATGAGGACATGGGAGGCTGGCGGTCCTTGGGACATCTGAACAGGATTGCTCTGGCTTTGATCATATTTTTGATGGGACATTGTTATTTTCCATCAATTGTGGCAAAGGTGGTGGCTGACACAGCAACAGGAAATAAAGCCTGATGTTGTGTGTCTGCAGAAAGTTGTGAATGTGAAACACAGATCCGGAAATATTTCAAAGAGAAATCAGGAAGAAAGGGAAAAAATTCCTAAGGGAATCAGTTTGACCAAACACATGTGTACATATATATATATATTTACACACAAATACATATCCCTCCTGACCTTTTTAACACACGTGGGCTCTGAGGTTCTCACTCCCCTGGGATGTCAGGGGATATTTGCACCGCGCTGTTCCAGGAGAGCAGCAGCACAGCCCGGGGGATGCCCCGGTAGCTGCGGGTGGAGCGGTGCCCTGCGGGCTGGCAGAGCCTGGCACAGCCCCGGGGGGATTCACCGGCCCGGGGACACCTGCAACATCCCGGCTTTTATTCCTCGCCTTTTCTAAAGGACCCGTGGCCGCTGCTGGGCAGTTTGAGGGCTGTGCTGCCCATCACCCCCTCCTTTCCTTGCTGGCACCCCAGGCTATGCTCTCAGGGAGCACAAGGAGCCTGCCCAAAGCAGAGCAGGTCCATGGGCACTGCTTTAGGGAAGAATTGCTCACCCAACAGAGAAACTCCCTCTTTTCTCTCCAGGAGATCCACTCTGAGAGCCATGGCTGGGATGGGAGAAACCCCAGGCAAAAATTGGCCTCCTTCAGTTCTGAGCTCCAGAGCTGGGCTCGGCAGCGTCTCCTTCCTTCTCCAGAAGTGAATAATAAAGAGACAACTGTTGCTGCCAGCCTGTAGTAACACCACAAGGACATTCCTTACAGAAATTTATGGAGTAGATAGAAAACTGTGGGATTTAAAACAAGCAGATTGCAAAACTTCACCAAAAGAAAAAAGAAGAGTTTGTATTTTCAAGAATTCTGTGTCTAGAAACACCCTCACTAAATCTGGGCAGGTGTTTTGCATAAAAATATTTTGGCAGTTCAAGGATTCATAATATTTTCGTATAGAAGACTAAAAAATTACTTTGAAATACTCTTAATTCCTAAAACTTAAGAAATAACAACAGAAAGACGCCAATTCAGCAGGTTTTAGGATAATTCTGTTGTTATAAAACCAGTCTAATAACTGTAGTAATTGAACCTGTGCTTTATAGATATTTTTCTCATCGTTTCCCTCCCAGTAAATAACGGGCACTGTTGTTTCTCTCCCCCTGGGAATTCCCAGGGGATGGCTGAATTTAAGAAAGGAAGAAATGCAAATCTCCCCCTCTGCCTTTGTGCTTTGCTCAGAAAGGCAGAACGGGGCTGGAAGTTGCTGGCGCTTGTGCTGCTCTGAACAGGGAGAAGAGCTCCCCGAGTGTCCTGAGCTCAAATTCAGGGATTGCATTTCAGCCTCTCCTTTCAGGGCCGAGGCTCAAGGATTCCATTAATATAAATGCTTTCTTCCCATTAAAAAGAAAACCAATTTGAAAGAGGCAAATAAAACTTGCACTGTCCAACTGACTGACAGCTTGTAAAACCCAGGCAGAGTTAGGAAGAGGAGGTTTGCACTGCTCAATTTGCAGGTGGCTTTACAACCTCCACTGATTTCCATCAGTGCATGGGTGGCAGGGAATTTTTTGTCTTCTCAATGAGAAAATTTACTGTATTAATATTTTTTTTTCTTTTTCCAAACAGCATATTTACCTAAACTTGTGCTTCCTACAGAAATGTTTAGATTTTCTGTCAAATAGTTAGAAGCAACTTATTTTTTTCTTATTTGGATTTGCCATGTGAAGCCAATGAAACCAAATCCCTCTTGCTCAGGGAGCAGACACCTCCTCTTCTATCCAGTCTCATCCAGGGGAGGAGGTGACAAAAGGGGGCCAAGAGCTTGGGCACCTCAGTGCCCATTTTGGGGGTGTGGGCCAGGTGAAACCCCTCATCCACAGGGAAGGTGGACACAGCCAGCTCGTCCTCAGGTCCCCTCTGGTGGCTTCTCCCAGATGTATCAGAGCATCTGAGCAAAGGTGTTCTCACTGCCCTCATGTCCCACCTCTCCTCCCCTGCCTGAGTCACAATTCTGAGGAACAAGGCAGGAAAATCTCCGGATCCTCCTCCTGCAGCACAGGCAGAGCTGCTGGGTGGGATGAGGGAGAGCCCCAGAGATTTGGACTCAGTAAATATTCCAGAAAAAATGCTGCCTGTTAACAGGAAACTTCTCTCACCAGCTGCCCACAGTTAGGCAAAAGCAAATTGCACATGTATTTAGCTCCCTGGTTCTCCTTCCACTGAGGAGTGAAGAGTGTCCCTGTGTGTCCAGGGAGGGCAGAGCCCGGATCTGGCTGGACTCAAGTCCTGCATCCCTCTCCCACCCAGGCCCTGGCCTCTTCCAGCGCCTCCGCAGAGCCTGGAAAAAGGCTCCGAGTCAGCTGGAGGCGAGTAAATCATTCCTGACAGCTACATCTCTACAGGGCAGTTAGAATTAATGTAACAATTTGGCGTTTAATGAAGCAACAACATGCTGGGCTGCGGAGAATAGCTGGGACCTGCTGCAGTCATCTCATAATCCCTGAGGGACCCAAACGGCAGCGGCTCCATCAGATGCCGGCCTGTCAGGCTGAGCAACGCCGGGTGGGCACAGCTCTGGACAGCGGGAGCATCCCCGGGGATCACCGGGCATTGCTCTGCCCGGAGCTCGGGGAGTGCTCGGTCTGAAAAATGGTGTTTGTGTAAAAAAATATTTTGTGAAGCTTGTCCAGGAAGGGTAGAGAACAAAATCGGGACTGGAGGGGGGAACTGGCAGAATATCTTTCCTAAATAAAAACCAGCTCGATGAGGTGCTCTGCCCCCCAAAGTCAGATTTCTGCACAAGTTGCAGGTATTCAGCCTTTTGCAGGATAAGGCCTCTTAAAAACCCTCCCTGCACGGAGGAGGGGGAGAGAGGAATGAATGCAAATGACTTTGGAGACAATCTCCCATTTCCCTTGTATACACACACGCTCTCAAAGCATCGCAGGCTGCAGCAGCTTGGATGCTTTAAAATAAATCATGCAGCACTTTTTTTTTTTTTTTTTTTGCTTGCTTGCTTTTAAATGAAAGCACAGCACAAAACAACATCCCTTCAGTTCCCAACCCAGCCGTGCTGGAGCTCCTCTCTGGGGCTGCCTGGTGTGTGTGTGGCCATAAACCTCCCCACGTTTTGTTGTGAAGCCTCACGGTCACCGGCTTTAAGGGCTTGACAGGTTTATAAAGTGCTGAGTGTCCCCCAGGGACGGTGGCACTGTTTGCAGGGAAGATGAAGCGTGCCATATCCAGCTGGTCTAACAAGGCAGCGGGAAATCTAAATTAATTCAAGAATCACTTCTGTTTTGCCGAGGGAGGATGCTGTTCTCAATCTATGGGAGCAGCCCATTGGAATACTCGTTAACAGCAGGGATGGGGTGCAAGGCCAGGCTCCCCTCGCCCGTGCTGGGGCAAATCAGGGCAGGGAACAGAAGGGAAAGGAAGGGCAGGGACCTCTCTCCTACAGACACCACACAGGGCTGGCAGGGTTTGGGGTGGATTTCTACTCAAAGCAGCTGATTTCCTCAAATCTGCCTGCAAAAAGGGATGGGCCTTACCAAGGCCCACCCAGGCTCTGCAGGTGAGGGCAGAGGGAAGTTATTTAATGCCCCCTGGCTGTCCTTATCCAGGGTTGTGGCCTTGCTGATTCCTGGTTTCCCTCAACCATCATGGGGTCCCTCTCTGTTGACCATGTAGGATCTGGGATTGAGCCTTCCCTCTGGATTGAGTCAGTTGTGCTGGTTGTGTGTGGGAGAGATGGTTGCAAAATCATGAGGTGTGGTGTTGATTTCATCTCAGGACGTGGTGCTTGGTGTTTCCCAGGATTTGTTCTGGCATTTGTGTGGACCATAAAGGAAATGGATAAGGAGGTTGGTTCCCAATGTGTGATTCTTTTCTCAAATGGGAAAAAAAACCCAACCAAAACCCAACAAAAAGCACCAAAGCTTAGATGATCTCAGCTTGCTGCATAATGAACTTTTAACACAGCCTGGTTTCAGAGGCTGTTTGCTGGTTCCTTTTTCTGAGGCCATGCATGAGCTGTGGCTGCTTTTCCTTCTGTGTGCTACAAGCAGTCCTAGGATTTATTGGTGTCTGTTTTATTTTTTCAAATGTGAATTACAGCTTGAAAGTAGTTATAATATTGTCTGGAGAGCAGGTGCTGAAATTGCTGCTTTCCTGCTCCTGGAGGGAGCCCTGCTCTGGGTGTGCTGCTGCCTCATCTCTGGGGACCTCTGTGAAGGACAGGAGAGTCCTGACACTCAGAGGCACAAGCCAAGCCGTGTCTGTGGTGCAGAAGAGGAGGACTGGCGCTCTCCATGGGGCTGAGGAAGGGCTGAGCACTGTGGATCCCTGCACCAGAACCATCCCTGGCTGCAGTGGGATGAAGGTCCCACAGCCCAGGTGGTGCCTGGTGGGTTTGATAGAATAGAGCAAGGCTGTGTGTGCTGGGCAGAGCCAGGCTGGCAGAAGGCAGCAGAGTTAAAGGGAAATTAGTTTGAATTGTGCTTTTTGGAAAGTTGAACATCCCGTGTTGTCCTCGGTGCCCTGTTTGTTAATGTGCAGCCCCTCTCCAGCAGCACCTGCTCCAATGGCTCTGAGCAGCCCAAATCAGAGCCACAGGGAGCCTTTAGGAAATGAGGGAGGATCTGGGCAGCAGAGCTCTGTACTTGGGAACTGGGCTCCAGTTGTTGAGGGTATCACATTGAATTGGCTTCATAGGATG